ATCTATATATATTTTAAAAAACAAATGTAATTTTTAATAGGCATTTATTGCAACATTAGGAAATAATTTAAAAATCAATTGTACATTAGTTGATAAACAGTTGGCAATTTGGAGGATGAACAAATGCAAAACAAGCAGTTATTGATTGGTTTTTGTTTCACCTGGGGAAACAATAATGAATAGGGTGAGTATAGCCTGGCTTTGTGCCTCTTATACTTCACATTTTGTTGAAGTCAGGCAATAATCCAAAGAGAAATAAAGAAAATAATTACAGCTAAAGGAGAAATAGGGTGCTCTAAAAGATATTTTAGAAGATAGAGCCATCGCAAGTGCTATGTCCTGTGAGACATAGACCCTAAGATGAAGAAGACAGCCATAATCTCCAGGAGTGTGCTATCCAGTAAAAGGCACTTGGCAAACATTATAACTACATGTGACACTCAAAAACCATAAAAGAGATAAAAGTAATGTAATGTAGAAATGAACCATCATGGAGTAATTCTCATTGAAGATATTTAGGAAACATTTAGGGACAAAGTAATGTTTGAGCTGGGTTTTGAGTTGGCTTTTCTGTCTAATAGCATAGTGAGTAAAACCAGTATGTGAAAAGCCACAGAATAGCGAAATTACACTTCAAATGGAGGAAATAGTAAGCTTTCAGGAAAGAAGTGAAGACACATGGAGAGAAAAAAGGAGATGGCTTGATAAATGGAAACTATAGTAGGGCTGAAAGCAAGTTTTATTTCTAATATTTAGTAAAGGGGAAATAAATCTACCCGGCTTTGAGAGGAAGAAGAAAGGGTTTGCAACAACTGATACTTTTTTTCTACATTGATGTACTTCTTCTGAAGATTAAGAACCTCCTTAAAACTGTACCAGGACTATCCATAAAACGAGAGGCTAGATTATGATTAGGCCCTACCTAATTCTTTTTTTTTTCATGGTAAAGACTGCTTTATTGGTGGCAGTTAGTACAAGTCAATAAATATTGATCCCCAAAGAAGACCTCAGTTATTCATCATATTACTGGTCCAGGGAGCTCACTGGAACTGAGCCACGTGACTGCTGGTCTGACTGAAGTCATTCCTGCTTCTTGGGAAATGATGCCGTAGCCAACTAATAGATGGCATGTGCAGTTCCACCAACTGTAAGAATCATAGTGGCTCTATACAGGAGGGCATCAGCTAGCCCACCCTTTAGGTGCACTGGAATTCCATTGTCCTCCTGAAACAGCTTTTGCTTCTGTGGAACTTTATTTTCACAATGCCTGCTTGAAGCAGTGCTGATAGTTCTCTGGGCAATCTGTCGAAGAGCCAGCAGATTCCACAGCATTTTGCCCAGGTTACGATGCACCAACCTTGACAACTGACCGCCAGAAGCGAGGGCTACCACAGGCCCCGGAGCCAGAACCCTACCTAATTCTTTATTGAAGGGTCAGGAAAAAAAAGTTTTCCTTAATAATAAATCCTTTAGCAGAATATGAAATAAGAGGAATTTTTTATTAATAGTGATTACATAAAACCTATGTTTCATTATTTAAAAATTATTCTAGATTTAATGATGTTCCTTTGAGAAATTATAACTTCTCTCAGCTGTTCTATGGAAAAATCAAAGGGAAGAAGTTATTGAGTTTATGTTTAAGTAGACTTTTCAAAAAGACAGAAAAGGAAGAGCAGTTCATTTTGCACCTTTAAGTATAGCAAAAAACTAACATGAGAAAGCTTTGCAACAGCTGAATGCTGCTAACCATATTTTTAAACAGCATAAAGTTTAGACATGGGCTTATGGATGGGCTTCAGGTGATAGTAGAATCCTTTAAACAATAAACAAGATTTTATGCATGTCTATGCTGCCTGTTTCAATCATATTATGTATTAAGGGAATTTCGTTTCTTAACTGGAGTCACTGTTGGTATTTGGGGTGGTACTTTGTGTGTGTGTGTTGGGGGGAAGGTACTGGGGATTGAACTCGGGCCCTCTGCACTGAGCAACATCCCCAGTCCTTTTTCTATATTTTATTTTGAAACCATGTCTTGCCCAGGCTGGAATGTTCCAGTAGTCAGGGAAATACAAATTTTAAAAATTAGTCACAAGCCTGGCATAGAGGCACATTCCTATAGTTTTAGCTACTTGGGAGGCTGAGGCAGGAAGATCATTTTGAGCCTAGCCTGGACAACATAGCAAGACCCCATTTTAAAAAAATAGTAGTAATTGGATACAATATTTTTTTTACCAGTTTGATAATCAGCACTGGGGATAAGTAGGCAAAGAGACACTATACATCCCTGAAAGCAATGTTCCTGTCTTTTTGAAAAGAAACCTGGCAATGTTCATTAATTCTTCCATCCCACATTCAAGAAGCTACTCTGCAGGAACACAGTTATCAGTATAAAAACTATATACATAAAGCTATTTATTGTAGTCTTGAAAAGTATTTTTAAACCCACCCTCGAGGGCTGGGGATTTAGCTCTGTGGCACCTTGCCTGCCTCACAAGCGCAAGGTCCTGAGTTAGATCCCCAGTACAGCAAAACAAACAAACAAACAAAAAACCTGGAAACAAAATACCCATCAACAGTAAGTAGGATAGTACACCCATAGTGTGGATGATTTGCTCATATAAGAACAAGTTAGAGGCCAGGGATTTAGCTCAGTGGTTCCACTGCCTGCCTTGCAAGCACAAGGACCCAAGTTCAATCCCCGGTACCAAAAAAAAAAAAAAGAACAAGTTAGAAATATATGTTTTAAGAGAAAATATCTACACTATATAAAATATAACTTTTCTGAAGTTACAGAACTCTATGTGGAGTAAATCCTAAATATGTTGGTATGAAAATGAAGAAAGTTGTGGACTGTTGGGCCTTAAAGAGATCAATAAATGGGTGCAGCTGCCTCCCTGCTAGCTCACCTGGCCACAGCGCCCGGTGCCACCCAGCATGAACATCATGGACTTCAATGTGAAGAAGCTGGCAGGCGATGCGGGCACCTTCCTCAGCCGCGCTGTGCAGTTCACAAAAGAAAAGCTTGGCCAGTCAGAGAAGACAGAATTGGATGCTCACTTAGAGAACCTCCTTAGCAAAGCTGAATGTACCAAAATATGGACAGAAAAAATAATGAAACAAACTGAAGTATTATTACAGCCAAATCCAAATGCCAGAATAGAAGAATTTGTTTATGAGAAACTGGATAGAAAAGCACCAAGTCGTATAAACAACCCAGAACTTTTGGGACAGTATATGATTGATGCAGGGACTGAGTTTGGCCCAGGAACCACTTATGGTAATGCTCTTATTAAATGTGGAGAAACACAAAAACTAATTGGAACAGCTGACAGAGATTCAACATCAAACATCAGCCTTAAATTTTCCTACTCCTTTAAGAAACTTCATGGAAGGAGATTACAAAACAATTGCTAAAGAAAGGAAACTATTACAAAATAAGAGACTGGACTTGGATGCTGCAAAAACCAGACTGAAAAAAGCAAAAGCTGCAGAAACTAGAAGTTCATCTGAACAGGAATTAAGAATAACTCACAGTGAGTTTGATAGTCAGGCTGAGATTACCAGACTTCTGCTAGAGGGAATCAGCAGTACACATGCTCATCATCTTCGCTGTCTGAATGACTTTGTAGAAGCCCAGATGACTTACTATGCACAGTGTTACCAATACATGCTAGATCTCCAGAAACAACTGGTAAGTTTTCCATCCAATTATCTTTCTAACAACAATCAGACTTCCGGAACTCCCGTGCCATCTACTTTATCAAATGCAATTGGTTCTTCTGCCATGGCTTCAACCAGTGGCCTAGGAATCACCTCTCCTTCCAACGTCACTGACCTTAAGGAGTCAAGTGGCAGCAGGAAGGCCAGGGTTCTCTATGACTATGAAGCCTCAAACAGTACTGAGTTGTCCCTTCTGGCAGATGAGGTGATCACTGTGTTCAGTGTCGTTGCCATGGATTCAGACTGGCTAATGGGGGAAAGGGGAAATCAGAAGGGCAGAGCGCCAGTTAGCTACTTAGAACTGCTCAATTAAATAAGTGGACTATGAAAAAACTACTCATCATGACATCGTATTTATATGTAAATAACTAAATAAAGCCGGTTTAAGTATCTTCCATGGTAATGTCTTAAGAGACTGGAAAACAAAAACAAAAACCCAGTCATCAGAAGCCACCCCTTCTGCCAATAAAGTTGCATGGTAAATATTTTTTTAAAAAAGAGAGATCAATAAATGAATAATGCTATACTGAAGGGATAGTCTGTTATATATGTTAGGGGTTCATTCAAACACTTTTTAAAAATTACTTTTAAAAAGTGGTAATTTTTAGTTTTGGAACAATTGACAAATAGCATTTAGAATTTTATAGGCATTCCCTAGCATATGTCTTGTTTGGTTGCCTAAGAAATATCCTTAAAACTATTCACATTGTCTTTAAGCATTGCCTGGAACCAGTGTAATGTTTTACTAAACACAGCCCATCCCTAGCCTTTGGCTATAGATACAGTATTGCATATCATGGAAATAGATAAGGAAAAATAAGAAGCAGCAAGCCCATGTGAAGAATTAAGGCTATTTTTTAAAAACCCAAGACAATAAATAATTGCTACTTGTGGACATGTGCATTGCAGAGCCTAGAGGATAGAAATCACTCCTTTGGCAGAAATTGCTACTTCTTTCTGGTTTTTACCTCTTTCCATCCACTTGAGTTAAAATGGGAGTTTTACACCTGGGAGTCATCAGTGAACTCCACCCCTCACTTCCAGTTCCACAAGAACCCTAAGTAGGTGGATACTGTGCAGTAGGGTGGTGGCCTTGTCACATCCTTCATGCTCCTGCTAGTCCAGTTGTGGAGCCAACAGGCAGTTGCAACCCTATAAGAAATAGAGAACAACTTCATTCCAACTTGCTACCTTCAATGGTGGCAGGCTCACTTGTTACACTATAGCATGGGGACATTGATTGGGAATGCTATCCTAGCACTACAGTTTCTAATTTGGTAATTAGGAATGGTGTCACTGTCCTTTCATTCCTAATCTCTTTACTTGTAAAAATATAAACTGTACAATCTTCATGGAGCTTTTGTAAAGACTGGGTAAGACAATATTCAAAAAGCTCATTGTACAAAGCCTGCTTGGGAATCATTGATTCCTTACCTTCTTACTTATCTATTTCATGTTTTCTGACCCTGACCTCTCTTTTAATTTTTTTCTCTCTGTCTAGCTTATCCTCTGTCCATCACAGCCCCTTTGCATCTCTAAATGCCTTTTCTTTCCTCTAGAACAATGGTGACTCTTTGTTCTCCCTAAATATTGTGCCCTTTTATAAAAGTTCTAGTCACTAGAGGGCTGCATACCAAGGTCCAGTCCCACTCACCCTGACCGCTGCAAGTCTGGATTGGATCAGAAAACCCAAGTGGAATCAGAGAAAGCTGAAGAGACCTTAGAAGCCCCTACTCCCAACTCCTAATTTTAAAGATAGGAGAAGTAAGTTTTGAAATGAATACAAGCAGGTAATTGTTATATTTTTCAAACTGTCAGTTCCTCTCTATAAATCATTAGTTAAAATAAATTTTATTTTATTTTGAAAGTTTTCTTACTTGTGAACTATTTCTGAAAAAAAGAAACAACATTTGTGAGGGAAAATAAAAGTCTTTTAGCAACAAAGCTAGTTTGTAGGTCATGTTCTTTAATTTATTCTAAACAATTTAAAGACTAAAATAAACCCACACAATTAAAATGTATACTTCTCTATTGAAAAGAACTCAAGTAGATTTAAGTTGGTTTTAACTTTCAACAAATTGAAATTTGTCTGTACTTAGATATCCCGGCTATTTCAAACATTAATCTTTTAAATTTGAATACTCATACCTCCTAAAATAAGTACAAACTATGCAAAAAAATGTTTATACTTACAAAGACACAAATAGAAATTACAAAATAATAAATATCCCTTACTGTTAAAAATATGAATTAAAATGTAAACAAATAAATACATTGGTACCTCAGTTCACACACTTAATTCTTCCACAATTCTGACAGCAAACTGAATTGGATGAGAACAGAATCAGATTTCCCCATAAGGACAACATTAAACCTAACCACTGAATTTGATTGTAACTCAGGCTGATAAGCCTGCTACAATTCTTTTTTGTTTGGGGTGGGGGTGTGTGTTTTTGAAACAGGATCTTGCTATCTAGTTCAGCCTGGCCTTGAACTCACTATGTATCCCAGGCTGGCCTCAAACTCATAGAGATCCTGCCTCAGCCTCCCAAATGCTGAGATTATAGGTGTGTGCCACCATGCCTGGCTACAATTTTTACCTTTACAAAAATTGGAAGGAGAGTTTG